GTGCGAGGAAGGCATTTTGTCTCAGGAGGCCAGACTGAGCCCATCTTCCTTTAAGGTGGGGGTGGGGGGTTGCACTTGGCTCTTTGTTGGTTTCGCAAGGTAACAGAGCCCATGCCCTTCCTCCCCTCTCCTGAATCGTCCCTGCCTCTGATTCCTTCCCTGGCAGTGGTCGGCAGAGTGCTGCAGAAGCCTCACCAGCTCGAAGGGGTCAGCCTGGATGTCTCTCCTCACTATGACTTCCTGGAGCCCCTGGAGGAGGAGGAGGAGGAGGAGGAGAAGGAGGCAACCATAGCAGCTACGGCTGCAGTGGAGGAAGGAGCCCTGCCAGCCGACGGAGGGATCCCACTGACCGGCCTCCCGCTGCCAGAGGCAGCCCTGCGACAGCTCCTTCAGTCCAGCCGGGCCTTGCAGGAGCTGGCAGCCCCTGTCCCCGAGGAGTGCTCTCTCCATCTGGAGGGCGCCAGGCTGTGTGTCACGGGAGGGGATCCGGCCCGCCGGCGACAGCTGCAGGAGCACGTCCGAGCCACCTTGGAGGCAGCGGTTCAGGAGCGCCTCCCCTTCTCGGCCTGGGTCCTCGGCTTCCTGCAGCGGGAGGATGTCCGTGGGCGCCTGGCCGAGCTGCTGGCAGAGAGGCAGGTGGTGGCCGGCTGCCTCCCGAGGGCTGAGGAGGTGCTGGTGGTGGCCCTGGCGCCCTCCTCCGCCCGCCTGGCCGCCTCCCTCTTGGGCTCCTTGCTGGGCTCCTTCGCCCTGGCCTTGTCGGAGCGGCACCTCCTGGCGCTGGGCTCCCCCCGCTGGGCCCAGGTCGAGGCGAGCCTCCGCTGCTGCCAGGTGCGGCTGGCGGAGAGCGGGGACCAGCTGGAGGGCCTGACCCTGGCCGGGCTGGAGGAGGAGAACCTGGCCCGGCTGGAGGCCTTCCTGCAGGACAGCGCTCCCGACGAGGCCCTGGTGGCCGCTGAGCCTGCCCCCCTCCGCTACCTGCAGCGCTACCACCAGGACCTGCTGGCCAGCATCTCCGACGTCGCCCTGCTACCGCTGGAGGAGCCGGACGTCACCGGCTTGCGGGTAAGTGCTGGGCTGGAGGTGGTGGCGAGTCTGCCCGCCCGCCTGCCTGCCTGCCTGACGCTGGGGCCTCCATCCTTCCCTCATTCCCTTGCCCCCCCCCAGGCCTTGGGGGCCACTGAAGCTCAGGCCTGCAGGGCAGCAGCAGAGTTACTGCAGAGCCTGCTTGGCGCCATCCATACGGAAACGGTGGTCCTGCAGCTGCCTGGCATTCAGCGCTTCCTCCTGGAGGATCGTGGCCAGGCCATTGTGCGCGACCTGGAGAGGCGCTTCCAGTGCATCCTTGGGTTGGAGCATCTCCACTGGCATCCTCCGGAGACACAGGTGCGCCTGCTCAGGCTTGCTTAGCGCAAGGGGCGAGGACGTTGGGAGGAAGGGAGGCGCTGCTGGGAAAAGGGGGTTGGGGCTGAAACCCTGGAGTCCCTGGGAGGGGAAGGACAGGGTGCCGTCCGGAGGGGTGGGTGCAGGCGGGTTGTGGCGTTGGCCTCTTCTAAGGCGCTTCCCTCTTGTCCCCAGCACGAGCTGGAGTGGTCTCAGGAACCGCTGGCCCTGGGTTGTCAACGGGAGAACCGGCACGGATCGGGGCCCCCAGGAGGAGTGGCCCAAGATCAGAGCGAAGCCAGCCTAGGTGAGGCAGGCGGACCGGACCAGCCAGTGTGCCGATGAGGAATGAGGAGAAGGGAGTGGGAGGGGGCTGAGAGAGGGGGCCCTTCTCCTTGGAGGAGGCTGCGAGGCGGTGGCCCCTCTTTCCTCTCCTCTGGCCCGCTGGGCTCCTGCCCAGCCCCTGAGCTTCTCCGGCGGCTTCTCCTTCTGCAGAAGAGATCAAGGACCTCCTGGCTGCCCTTCAGCCCAACCTGGTGGACCTTCCTGCAGCAGACGGAGACTGGTGGCCCCTGGTGAGCAGTAAAGGGGAGGAAGAGGAGGACCTTTACACCGACCCTGGGCAGGCGCCAGCAGGAGCCCCGCCTGCAGAAGAGGAAGAGGAGGAGGAGGAGGAGGCCGGCTCCTTGGTCCTGGAGGTCCCGGAAGAAGAGGCTTCACCCCAGGGGGCAGGCTCCCTCTTGGGCCCCAAGGGCAGCGTGGAGGAAGAGGCCCAGCTGCTGCTGGCCATCCAGGAGTCAATGGACAGCGTCCGGCGGGAGGAGGAGGAGCTGCGCCAGGCCACGGAGCTGTCCAGGTGCTCCTGGGAGAAGGAGCAGCAGCGGGGCCCCAGTCCGGATGGCGCCCTCTGGTCGGCCCTGAGCATGTCCCTGCAGGAGCTGGAGGCGGCTCGGGTGGTGGCCTGCGTGGGGTCCAAGGAGCAGGCGGCCCCTCTGGCCCGGGAGCTGGAAGCCACCTTGCGGGCTCAGCTGCGAGAGGAGAAGGTGGCCAACAGGGCGCTGAGCTCCCTGCCGGCCCTGTGCCAGGACTATCTGGCCTACCTGGAGAGGAAGCACGCGGTGCGCATCCTGCTGGCGGGCACGGTCGCCACGGTGCAGGGTTTTGCTGACTACCCGGTGGCGGCCACCCGTGACCTGGCGTTGCTGCTCACCCGGTTGTTGCAGGCAGAGGGCCCTGCGTGCCCTGGCAGCACCCGCTGGGTCCGCTGGGAGCCCTCGGGGGACGGCTCGCCCACCCCGTATCCTGCAGAGACCAGCGCCCTCCTGGAGCAAGCCTGGCACCGAGGACTCAAGCGAGTCGACGTGTTCTTTGGGGGGCGCCCCTTCATCATCGACCTTGAGCGCATGGAAGAGCACGACCTTGGCAATGCCCAGACTCTGCCCATTGGCCGCATTGAGCCCCCACCCCCCGCGGCCCCCTCAGGTGAGCGGCGCCCCGCGGTTCTCTTTCGTTCTTCTTTGGGGGTTCCGGGCAGGCATCAGGGAGAGGGGGGGCGGCAGGGCTGAGCCTTTGGGGAGCAGCGCGCAGACCCCTCCCTCTGCGGCCCTGCCTCGGGTGGAGCGGAGGTGCTCTTTTGGCAGAAGCCCTCTTTATCCCTTTTGCAGCCCCCCCAGCCCTGGCCGAGGATAAAGGGCAGCTGGTGCCCCTGAGCGAGGCCTCCGAGGAATTCCGGCAGACCGTCCGCCACTTCTACGACACGCTGAGAGGCCTGCACAACAAGATCCACATTGTCAAGGTCCGGTGGGCCTGGGGGTGGGGTGGGGGCTGGTTTGGGGTGGGCCTGGGGCCAAGAGGCTGGCAGTCCGCTTTCCGGGTGCTAGGCTGGCACTTGGCCAGGAGGCCTCCGGGTGGGCTTCGCGACACCGGATCTTCCCATCGAGGCTGGAGGGCCCTTTGCCCACCCACGCCCGACCTCGTCCCAGGCCTGCCATGCCCAGCACAAGGGCCACCAAGCCGGTAACCGCCAAAGGGGCTCTGAAACAAGGAGGCAGCTTCTGCCTGTGTCCTCTCTTGTGCCCCCCCCCGCTGCACTATCTCTGGAAAGGAAAGTTCTCTGTAAGCTCCCACCCCACATAACGAAGGTCCCTTCTGCTTGCTCAGCTCCCCCAAGTTCTGTTTGGCCCCGTCTGTGAAAAACGGCGGTGCAGTAGAAGAAGGGCCACTTGGTGCTTTCCACGTTTTTCCCAAGACGGGCCCGGCGGGGGTGGCTCTGTGGAGAGGCTGCTTTTTTGGGTGGGACGCCTTCCAGAGCTGCAGCGGGGGCACAGCCTGGTCCCACCCGCTTTTCTGGCCCCTGAGAGCTTTGGGCCTGACCCATCTCAACTAAGAGAAGCCTCAAGGATGTGGGGGAGGTTGCCTGGGCAGCCGGGGGCCCTGATCTGATCCATCCCTTCTCTTGCACGGCAGGTGGAGAAGCTGGTGCACCCACTGTTGCACCAGCAGTACCAGCTGAAGAAAGCCGCCATGGAGAAGGCCTGTGGGCACCAACAGGTGGAGCGGCTCCTTTATCACGGCACGACGGAGGAGTCCAGCCGGGAGATCTGCCAGCATGGCTTCAACCGGAGTTTCTGCGGCAGGAATGGTAAGCTGGCTCTCGGGCGATGGGGAGGCGGTTGCTCGCCATGGAAGAGGGACCCGCTTCCACCTCCCAAGTGAAAAGTCAGCCCAGGGAGCTTGGGTCCTCCCCCTGGACCCTTCCCGCCCCCCCCATGGCACTCAGGTGGCCAGACAGCCCAGTGGCTAGCGCTGGAGGTGGGCAGTGGGGCCGAGAGCACCCGTCCTGCGCCGGTCCTCCAGGCAGGGCATCGCAGGGTCTTTCCTCTATGCCTCTGAAGCCCGAGGCCACGGACAGGCGTTCTCACCTCCTCCCTCCTCGCCTCTCCCCAGCGACGCACTACGGCCACGGGGTGTACTTCGCCGCCAGTGCCTTCCTCTCGGCCCAGGAAAAGTACTCGCCTGCCAGTAGCAGCAGCGGCAACAAGTACATCTTTGTGGCCCAGACTTTGGTTGGGGACTACACCACGGGCAGCCAGAGCATGCGAGCGCCCCCCCTGCGAGAAGGGGATGCTGTGCCGCGGCGGTACGACAGCACGGTGGACAACCCCCGCGACCCCTCCATCTTCGTCATCTTCAACGACACGCAGGCTTATCCCCAGTACCTCATCACCTGCCGGTGGTCAAATCTGCGCTGAACGAGGAGGGCGGCCAGGAGGACAGACTCTGCCTGCTACTGCTGTTCCCCACCCCTCCCTCTGGACCCCACGGGCCCTTTGTGCTGTGGGGTGAAATGCCGAATGTTTGGGGCTGGGGTGGGAGGATGCCTGAGAGAGGACTGGCTGGATTTGTGGCCCTCCGAGTCGGCAGGACAGCTGGGAGTCTGCTGTTGCCACAGGGGCACCGTTGGAGCAGGTGGGATCTGTGCACCACCTGGGCTTAGCCAGCAAGACCAGCGGGGGGTGGGGGAAAATGTGTTGTTTGCCAGCTCTTGATTGGGGGGGGGCTCACATGCTGGGAAGGGGTGTCAGTCAATGATGGGCAGTTTGTGCATAACACAGCACACAATTAAAAAGAAAAAAGCCATACACAGCTTCTCTTGCCCAGCTGGCGTTTCTTGGGGGAGCCGGTACGAGGCCCCCGGGGCCCAGCTTTGTCACTTGGCCTGGCTTGGTGTTGGCAGCAGGAGGGGCCTCGGGGAGAGCTCCAGAACGTGGGCTGGGCTTCTGCAGCAGCTGGAGGGAGTGCCCAGATCTGGGGGCCAGTGGGGGGCAGGAGCCATAGGGGCTCCGTCCGTGCCTGGTTTTCCATGCATTGCAGCTGTGCTGCCTCAGCCCTCCTATACGCCACATGGATTGTGTGCTCCTAGTGCTGGGGGGGGGCTGCCCTTCAGCGAAAGAGCGGGCAAGACTGGCTTTCCCCGGAATATCCATGTGGAGAGAGTTCCTGCCGGTCACCCTGGAGAGCTGCTGCCACCTGTGGCCATGGATGGTACGGCATGAGAAGGAACAAGGTAAGTCTTGGCTTAGTGCAGGCCAGCGGCCTGGGGTTCGCGGGGCTTCGTTGCCCCTCCCACCAGTAGTGCAGGCTGCATCCTGGCTTCTGCCTGTGAAACAGGCCAGCCTACCCTTCCGCTAGGAGTTTCAGCAGACTGGCTTGTTACAGTGCAAAGCGTTGACCGTCTGGATGGTTGACCGTCATCTCTATATAACCCTTCAAGTTATGATCATCCTCAGTCCACCCCACCTCCCCAGACACACTGTACTTCCAACAAACCAAATTCAACCCAATCCCAAATGGACACACAGGCGGTTGACGGATGCGTTGTGCTCCAGGTGTATGCAAGGGAAGGGGAGAATCTCTCTAAAGGCTTCCTCGAAGAGAGGGGTCTTGAGCCATTTCTTAAAAGCTGGGCGGGAGGAGGAGGAGGAGGAGGCCTGATGAATCTCCCCGGGAAGGTGGTTCCGAAGCTCTGGGGCCGCAACCGAAAAGGCTCGGTTCCTCGTGGATGCCTCGCTCGTCTTCCTCAGAGCAGGCACCCGTAAGAGACTGGCCTGGGTGGATCGGGTAGTGCGGGCTGACACTCTTCGGAGGAAGCGCTCGGACAGTGAACGGGATCCCAAACCACTAAAGGGATGGACAGAGTTCCGACTCCTGTCCTCTGAAGAGGCCCATGGCCACAGAGACTGGCGAAACGTCAGGAAGGACAACCTTCAGAACACGGCCAAAGAGCGGGAAAACCCACAACAGCCATTAGATCCCAGCCGTGAAAGCCTTCGCGAATACATGAAAGGCTTTCCTTGTTAGCATCAGCACTTCTGAGTATGGCTTGGAAAGGAATGGAGACCACTCACCGGGGAAATGTGACTGAATTTAGTAACCCCAGTGATTAACCTGGAGACCACCACCTGCACCCATTGCAGTTGCTGAGGCAGCTTCAAGGGAAGCCCCAGGTACAGAGTGTGGTAGTAGTCAAGCCTTGAGTTCACAGGCAGTCGGGGACCTCCCATCAAGGTAGGGGTGCAACTGGGCAATTGGACAAAGCTGACTGAAGGCTGGCCTTGACCCAGGTACCATTTGGTGGTCCAAAGAAAGGACCAGGTCTAAGGCCACCCCCCACGTTACGCACAGTCCCTACAAGGAAGTGTCAAACCATCCACCCTAGAGAGTGGGGGCCCCCAACCAGCAAGACCTCTGCCCTGCCCAGGTTCAGCGTCAACGTCTTTGTTCTGGTTCAGTCTGATTGTGAGGCCAGGCAGCGCGCTACACCTGGGCCACATCCACTGCAGAGGAAGGAAAGGAGGGGTCGCGTAGGGTGTCGCCAGCATGCTGCCCCCCCCCCCGGTGGACTCCCAAAAACTCCAGGTGGCCTCTTCTCCCAATGGCTTTACATAGACATTAAAAAGGATAGGAGAGAGAGAGAGAGAGAGGAGAGAGAGAGAGGTCCCTTTGAGGAGCCTCACACTTGAAAGCCCACAGAGGCAAAAGTCTCTCCTGCTGCTGAACCCTTGATCAGAAGCAGCTAAGAAAGAGCCGCGCCAATCCCCAGAGCGGCTGGCCTTGGCCTGCCCGGGAGGATACTGTGGTCGAGGGTCTCAAAAGCCACTGAGAGATCCAGCAGAACCAACAGGCTCACCCCCTCCTTCCCCCAGGGGTTTCTCTTCAGAGGTCAAACCCCAACTGGAATGATGGATCCAGGCCGTCCATTTCCTCCAGAGAGATGCAGGTCTGCTCGGCCACCGCTCGCTGGGCCAGCTTGCCCAGAAAGCGAATACTGGCGAAACGGCCTGTTGGATCTTCAGAGAGATGCCGGATTCCACCTGTTTAGGACGGGCCGGCCCCTCCGGTGGCCTGGCTGTGCTCTTCTTCTCCGCAGGCGCGGAAGGCCGGCCCTGCTGGCCAGCGGACAGAGCTCCGGGGAGCCCAGAGGGCGGCGGCGGCGGCGGCTCTGTCTCCTGTTTTCAGCTGCCCCCGAGTGGGCGAAAGGGCGGAGCCGCCGGGCGACCAGACGGGGCGGGAGGCAGCCAGGGGGCTCCGCTCGCGTCTCTCCTTTCCTGCCAGGAGGAGGCGCTGTTGCTGCGCTGTTGCCGGCCGGGTGCTGGAAAGCCTGCGCTCGCTCGCTCGCTCGCTCGGCCGGTGTTCTTTGGCGCCGCGTGTGCGTAAAAAGCCGAGCCGAGCGGGCCGCCTGGCTGCCCCGAGGCCCATTCTTCGCCGATTGCTCATGACTCGTGGAACAGGACGGGAATGCGTGCCGTGCGGGCCCGACAACAGGAAGCGCGCTGTGTGGAGGGAGGGGTGCTGGAGAGAGGGGTGCGGTCAGGGCGGAATGTGCTGCTTGGGAGAGCAGAGCGCGGTTGGGCCCGGAGGC